CTTAAAACACTAGAAATCATAACAAAACCCCTAGATTTAAGAGTTCACGGCCCAAGAACATCTTGGACCGTGAACCATTCTTAAAGGGGCAAATGATGCCCTAGACAAGTTCTTGGGCCGTAAACCCCTATTAATGGGGCAAATTGGACCCTAACTCCTTCCTTAAGCCTAGAATCCAACTTAGATCATATCCTTGAAGTGTTAAGGACCTTAAGATTCCAAGAAACCATGTTCCCATAGAGTTTACGGCCGTAAGCTCATAAGGATTGGTCCTTAGTCCGTAAACTCTATAAAGGGGTGATATTGTGCCCTTAATGCTTCCACATGGCTAGAACTTATCATAAAACCAATCACCAATGAGCTAGGAACCTCAAAACATCAAATGGTACTCCTTACCATGAGTTTACGGCCGTAAACTCATGGGGGAGTGGTCCCAGGGCCGTGAACATTAAGCAAGGCCATTTTAAGGCCTTAAACCCACCCAAACACTTGTTTAAGCCTAGAAGCACTTCACCACTTAAGTTGTAATAGCTTTGAGCTTCATTTAGAGCCCCAATGGAGAGTTTACGGCCAAGAGTTTACTCCCTTGGGCCGTAAACTCCAACACACATGGTCTCTTGACCATAAACTTCCGTATGAGGTCTTGCACTCCTTTGTTGCAACCCATTAGCCTCCTAGAACTTGACCACAGTGTTTTCATCGCATTAGGATGTTTATACACCTAGCAGTCCTACCTCTTCAGTTCATCCGTATCACCCACAACAGGTGAGTTCATATCCCTTAATCAATGTTTTAATTGTTTTATGGTGGGGGGGGGGGGAATACAAGTAGAATCATGCTAGTTACTATATCAATCACATGTGATTAGTAAGCAACATTCAAATGATTGGCTACTCATTAGCCATTTTACCAAACAGTTTACTTCAAATGTTTTTCATAAACACTTATGTGTTTAAAACTCCTTATTACACTGTACATATTACTCTGTATGTTTCATTTCAAACTAATTTACAATTGTGTTTCAAACAAATGTTTCCTTATACTTAAACTGTTTTATCAAACCCATGTTTCCAACCTGTTTTATAGATTGACATGAAGTCGATCTTTTTTTAAATATTAATTATGTTCAAAGGTTTTACAAAACTTACTTTATGCTTTTATATTATAAATTTCAAGCCTATATATGTATAGTTATATGAGAAATGTTTAAAAGATTTAGGAAGGCTATCCACCCTATTTCCTTTTCGCGCTTCAGATGTGGTCTGGTGGGATATCGTGTATCCGCCCGAAGGCCGTTTAAATATTAGTCATATATCATATGTACATATATAGTCATAAAGGCCCTTCCAGTTTAACCAATGCCCTTGGGTAGCAAGGGTATACATCGATGTCCATACGTACCAGTTAGATTACTAGTAAACTACCATAGGGGTAGTTTTGGAAGATACTAGAACAATTACTAGAACACGATATCATACAATGACTCAGTCCATTCATGAGTCAATACTTGCTAGATAGAGAGAACATACATTACAACTAGAACATTTCAGTACATTACTATTCGTGCTAGATAGAGAGAGAACACACATTACAACTAGCACACGTAGAACATTTCAGTACATTACATATACATGAATACGTTGACATAAATGTGATCCACTGTATCGGAGCATGCCTTCAATGGCATGGCCCGAGTTGTAGCCAGAGTCTCTTGGAGGGAGAGCGTGAGTTTGCGTATAGATCTATACTGGATTGACTATCCTACACCTTGCTGATAGCTACAGCCGGACCTACAGGTCTGCGGGTGTCAAAAGTCATACCTTTTTACGACCTACATTTGTCGTTGTTAACCAGTCGATAGTATGGTACAATTAATCACATGCTGCCTTAAAATAAATCCGGTTTAAGGTAGTTAGTACAACAGTAGTCCTTATAGCAATACATTACAGTATTACATTAATTTTCCTTTTACATATACTTAGTGATCTTTTCACTTAAACATTAAATGTAAAAACTATATTTTGTTAATGATAGTTACACTTAGGAAAATTACACACTTTTACAAGAAATGAACATTTAAAGCAGTTAAGTCTTGGTAGAAGGCTACATTCAGAACAGTTAGGTCTTGGTAGAAGACGCCCTTATATACTAGTAGGAATCATAGGGATTTCTAGGGTTTTTCAAACATTTACAGTTGTTTTACAAAACATTTTTATACTTACAGTTCATATACATTTTCAATACTTATAGTTCATATACATTTTCAATACTTATAGTTCATATACATACAAATACTTACATACAAATTAAGACACTAAAATACTTATGATCTCACCAGCTTTAAAGCTGATACTCTCTTTCAAAATAACTTGTATCCTCAGGTCAACCATAGACAGGTACCGATGCAAGGTTTAGAGAAGATGGAGCTCGTTCAAGACTCATCTTTCATTTTGTTAATACTTTAGTGTCTATTATAATTTGACAGAACACACTTGTATTAAAATTATATTATTAATGCAATGGATGATGTTGTTGCTTGTTTACTACTTTTCATTGTTGTGATACTGTACATGACGTCCTCCGCCCCAGAACGTTTCCGCCATTCATGGTTTTGGGGTGTGACAGGTCTTGATTGTAATTCTTGGAATAATAATTAAAATGATATGGAGACATAGTGGGAAAAACACATTATTGAAGGTGATTATGGTAAAACTGACGAAATTTGTCAGTTTTGGAAACCCTAAATCCGCATTAAATTTCAGATTTACTGGCTTGCTTCCAAAGCAACACATGAAGAACCAACCCTAATGAAACCCTAATCTTGTTTATTATATAAACGACTCTTCCTTTTGAGAAGATATATACGAAAATTAGCTCTCGTTTTTCTTAAAACACTTACCGAGTTCTTCTAGCAATTTGACTTACGATTTCTGTGTCTAGAATCATAAGTGTCCTCTTGGATTATCCTAGGCTGAATTTCTTGTAAGCCAGACATAGGGTAGAAATATCAGTTCGGAAAGTGTTTCATACGATCCAAGTGGTATCCAGATCCCCAATGTAAACCCTATATTCTCCAACAATTAAGCTAATTTATTCATGACTTGAAGCATTTATTTCATAAACATAAAAGAAAATAAGAAACGAAAGAACGAATAATTCCCATCTATTTTTTTCTTTATAATCATGATTTACAATAGTTCCATATTGTAGTCAATTAATGTGTCATTTTTTGAAATGTCTTTTTAAACCATAATTTTTCAAGTTTAACTAATCCGTTGTTTAGAAGTCTAACTAAATAACATCTAAACTGAAACATATTGTACCCCTTTTAAACCATAATTTTTTAATGAACCCATATAATATATGAGCCTGATAAATAGTGATATAGTATAGAGTGTTTAACATTAGTAAGTATTATCATTTAAATTTTATTTTCTTTATACTATTACTTGCATTTATGATTTTCTGAAGCTATCATGAGATGGTCTCACATTACAACAAAATTTATTTTAAATTAAGGTAAAAATAAACCATGGTATTTTAGTTTTTAGTTTTTACTAAATATTATTATATACAAAAAAGGGAAATTGCAATAAAGTCCTTACATATTGGCCTCATATTCGATTTAGTCTCTTTATTTTTTTTATTCAATTATGTCTCAAAAACCATAAATCATATTCAAATTAACCCTTTTACCAAGTTAACAGGTTATCCATCTTTCAAAAATTATATTTTTGGTACAGATTTCAAAATTTATCACAAATTTGGTCAAAAGTTTACACTTTTGGCCCAAATTTTAATTTCTTTATTTACAAATTTGGTCCAAAAATATACCCTTTTGGCCCATATATTAGAATTTCGTTATGAATTCATTATAACTTTAGTTTTTTTACAACTTTTTTGTTAAAAAAAAAATTCAAATGTTTTTTCTTTATAAAATCATATCTATACAAAAAAACACATTTTCACATAAAAAAATCTTATATATACTAAATAAAACCTTTTTAATTTTTTTTTGTATACAAAATACCTATTTAAAAAATTAGGTATTTATTAAGTACATAAATATATACAAATCTATTTTTATAATATATATATATATATATATATATATATATATATATATATATATATATATATATATATATATAAATGTGTTTGAATACAAATGCATTTATTATAAAATAGGTGCTTATATATATATATATATATATATATATATATATATATATATATATATATATATATATATATATATATGTTTTTACAAAATAAACCACTTATTTGAGTCATATAAATATATTTTTACCGAAGAAATGTATATGTTTACTATGAAATAGGTGTTTTTATAAAAAATATGTGTTTGCATACAAAAGTATTTGTAATAAAATAGATGTTTGCATACATTTTTTTTGTAAAATAAATGTGTGTGTGTGTGTATATATATATATATATATATATATATATATATATATATATATATATATATATATATATATATATATATATATATATATATAAATAAGCAGATTTGTATATATTTATGTACTTAATAAATACCAAATTTTATAAATTGGTATTTTGTATAGAAAAAATTAAAAAGTTTTTATATAGTAAATATAAGATTTTTTAATGTGAAATATGTTTTTTTTGTATAAATATGATTTTATAAAGAAAAAACATTCGATTTTTTTTTTGAAAAAAAAAAGTTGTAAAAAAACTAAAGTTATGATGAATTAATAATAAAATTCTAAAATTTAGGCCAAAAGATTATATTTTGGATCAAATTTGTAAAAAAAATTAAAATCGAAGCCTAAAGTATACATAAAAAATATGTAAAAAACAAATATATATGTACATAAAAAAATAGTAAAACAAAAGATAAAAGTAAGAAATAAAAAAGAGGAGTTTAAAATGACTTTTAATTTGTTTCCGCTGCACATTTCCCTGACCCTCTCTCTCTCTCTCATCGTGTCACTCTAGCTTTCTCAACAGTGAAAATGGCCGAAGCACTAGTGACTATTGATGCCGAGGGGTTACTGAAAAAGGTGTTGACTATCGCTGCCAGCGAAATCGCCATTGCTTGTGGTTGTGAAGAAAAGCTGAGCAGCCTTCACAGAACATTGGATCTGATTCGTGCCAAGTTGAGCGACGCGGAAAGTCAAAAGGGAACACAAGCTGTGATGGTGTGGCTGAAGCAGCTAAAAGATGTAATGGATGAAGCTGATGATGTGTTGGACGAGGTTCATTACGAAATGTTGAGGTGTCAAATAAAGAAACTAGATCGGTTGTCAAGAAAGGTATCGTGCCTTCTAATCTTAAAGTTTTCATTTCGTAATGAAATAGGTCATAAAATCCAAAACGTCAATAAAACGTTGCTTGAGATCTATACACAAGCAAACGGTTTAGGACTACAAAATGAACACCCAGCTGGTTCTATTCCAGATGGACTCTATCGGGAGACTATTCCACATCCAGAAGAATTCAAGATTGTTGGGAGGGATGATGATGTCCTACGTATCATAGAGCTTTTAACCCAATCAAGAAAGGAAGAAAAACTTGCAGTTGTTCCCATTGTGGGAATGGTTGGTATTAGGAAGATAGCATTGGCTAAGTTGGTCTACAATGATAAAAAAATCGTGCAACATTTTAATGTTAAAGCATGGTTGTGTGTGTCAGTTACGGTTGATATCATCACTCTTCTTGCAAAGATCTATGAATCTCTTGTTGGATAGAAACCTGAGTCGGACTCTAAGGTCAATTTAATTAAAAGTCTTGAAGAGAAGTTGGGATCAAAAAGATATTTTATTGTCTTGGATGATGTTTGGGTTGAAGAGAGACCATATTGGGAAGAGTTTAGGAGATGTATGCTTGGTGTAAACTCACAAAATGGAAGTTGCATTCTTGTCACTACATGGAAACTTGAAATTGGAACTCGTGATATGATCATGGATTCCTATTGTCTGGAAGGTCTTTCTAATGATGAGTGTTGGTCAATCTTTAGAGAAAAAGCGTTTGTGGGAGGAGAATCACCTTCACCAGAATTGGAGGAGATAGGTCGTGAGATTGTGAATAAGTGTGGTGGTTTACCATTGCTATTAAATGTAATAGGTGGCATGTTGGCAAATTACAGTGGTCGAGAGAAGTGGTTATCCATAAAAAATAGCGAGGTTTGGGATCTTGAAGAAGAAAGGTATATAATTCAAAAGAGTTTGGAACTGAGCTTTGATAATCTCCCTAATTCTATTATCAAGCAATGTTTTGTATATTGTTCCATCTTTGAAAAAGACACGGTAATGGAAAGGGAAGAACTGGTCCGACTTTGGATGGCTTTAGGATTGGTTCAAGCAGATGAGGCAAGTAACAAGGAGATGGAGGTTGTGGGAAATGATATTTTTCAAATATTGGTTAACAATTCATTGTTTCAAGATGTTAAAAGGGATGAGTATGGTTACATCACTCATTGTAGTATGCATGATCTGGTGCATGATCTTTTGTTATCACTTTCGAAACATGAAAGCTTACGTCTGATGGGTGTGAAGAATGATGATATTGCTCGTATTCCTCAGATTAAGCATCTCATTTTTTACCTATTATATCATGAATTAGAAGGCAAGATTTGTAAGTTCATTGAAAGGGATACAATGGCTAGAACTTTGCGCACATTGTTCATCGAGGGTGAAGTTGAGAAGAATTTTTCATTTGAACGATTCAAGTGCATGAGAATCTTAAAACTCAAAGGATGTCATATAGATAAGTTACACGATTCAATTGGAGAGTTGGTGCATCTTAGGTATCTTGATTTGTCAAATACAGAGATCTATGTTCTTCCAGAATCTATTGGTAACTTATACCACTTGCAAACTCTAAAGTTGCCTTACAGATTTAAGCAGTTTCCAGAATCCATGAGAAATTTAATAATCCTACGATATTTCCAAGGTCACATAAAGATTCCCGCCAATATTGTAGGACACCTGACCTCTCTTTGAAATTTGTCTTCCTTCACAGTGCTTAGTAGTATGGGACATGGTATTAAAGTGCTACACCATTTGAATAACCTTAATGGAAAGCTCCGTATTTGCGATCTAGAAAATGTTAGGAGCAAAGAGGATGCTATCAAGGCAGGTTTATCTAGCAAGAAAAACATATACGATATTGAATTCAATTGGAGTGAGTATAATGAAAGTGCCAACAGAAATGACAAGGATGTATTGGAAGGCTTGCAACCCCCTGGAGATGTGAAAACATTGTCAATTAACAAATTTTCTGGTGATAATTTTCCAGATTGGACGCCACTTGACAATCTCGTGAAGATATCACTAAGTGGATGTCGCAGCTGCCTCTCTCTTCTAATGCTTGAGCACCTACCACATCTTCAGAATCTTTTCTTATCTAATATGGACAGTTTGACATGCTTAAGGAATTCCGATGTTACTGGATTAATGAAGCCTTTGTTTCCATCATTGAGATCGTTCAGACTAATACATATGAAAAGACTGGAAAAGTGGATAGATGAAGCACCCAACAGCTCAAAAATGATTTCTGCTATCCTCTAAAGCTGGTCCATTCGGGATTTCCCTAAGATTGTTCTCTTATATGAGTCCCATCCCCACCCTCTTAACTCCTTAGAAATTAGAGCTTGCAAAGGTCTGGTGTCCATTAAGAGCATACAAGGCCTTACATCTCTTGAAACTTTAGTAATTTCTAGGTGTGATAGTCTTTTAGGAATAACCAATTTGCCCAACCAGTGTCGTTCTTTGAAGACTTTGAAAATTACATACTGCAACAAATTGAATTTCTTGCCTCTAAGAATGTTTGATTGTTTTGCCTTCTTAAATAAGTTGAAACGTGGTTCGTTTTCACAGGAGCTCGATTATCTCCCAAGTCTCAAAGGTACCGAGAAGTTAAGGGACCTCCTTCACTTATTGGACTTTTCTTTTGGGGTTGGGATGATTGGGATTCAATGCCAGAAGAAATACAACACCTCACCTCACTGACTCGGTTACAAATACATAAATTTGGAATACAACAACTGCCTATGTGGTTAACCAACATGTCATCCATCCAACATTTACTTTTCCATGATTGCAAGGGGCTAGATAAAGAAATGGTTAAACGAGGAGCGCCTCATGAAGCAAATTTTGTCAGTGTAAATTATTCAAGGGTTTCCATAAATAGAGATGTTAATTAGTTATTTGAGTGTGTTGGTGTATAATAAAATATGTTGTATCATTTTTTTCTCCTCTTGTTCAGTTATAAACTCTTGTTCGACTTTCACCATTTGTATGAGAGATCGCTGTTGTTCAACATTTAAAAGAGACAAATTGAAATGTTGTGTAAAAGTCCAAACTTTTTATGAATTTGATTTTGCAAACACTTTATACTAAAATTCATAACACTTGGGTCTCTCGCCTACCACTTATATCTATAACTTATAATCGCAATTAGTTGACCCAACTTTGCAAAGTTCATTTCTGCTTAATTTTCTTGTATAATTTCATCATTGGAATTTTCTTGCATGATGGTTCTCATTTAATTGCAACTGATTTGTACTACACCTAAAAAAGTACAAATTTAATGGATTGCAAAATGCAAATCCCAGTCTCCTATTTCTATCACCAAACAACTCATCCTTTTATATGTTGACAAATAGGGATGAGCAGCGGAACAAGGTACCTGCTTTCGGAACCAGAACCGTCTTAGAACCGCCGGTTCCGGAACCAAAACCGGCTTAAGTGGTTCCGGTTCTGGTTCCTAAAGTTTAGTAACCGCCATAAGCGGTTCCGGTTCCGGTTTTCATTTTCTCGGAACCACTACCCGTCGGGTACCTGGTAGAACCGATATATATATATATATATATATATATATATATATATATATATATATATATATATATATAACGCTCCAATTCTCAGGTATTGCTTAAATAAGGTTTTTCTTTGGGTTCAGCTCTACTCGACGAGTTGGTTCACCTACTCGTCGAGTAGCAGCGGGGTGGGATCGCGTTTTAAGTGACCTACTCGACGAGTCCATGTTGGGACTCAACGAGTAGGAGCTGGCAGTGGAAACCCTAAATTCTGGGGTTTGCATTTTTATGTAAAGGAGCCTTAGCCTCCTTTGGCCTCTTTACAGTCTTTGAGAGCCCCCTTAAAACCCTAATTCGTGTGTGTGTGTCTTGGTGTGGTGTTGAAGCTTGGAAAAGAGGATCTTGCAGAAAGAAAGCTAAGAGTGCAAAGGAATTGAAGAAAGGAAGGATTGGGAGGCAGGCCTTTACCTCAGCTAACATCCTTTGTAGGTATCAAAGTGCCATTTCTACTTCCCTTTTTCGCTTTTGTTGAGTTGCTAAGGCTTTTATGGATTTTCAAGTTGGTATGATGAGATATGGGCTAGATATGAAGTTGTAACTTCAGATCTGGACCCTCCTTGGATTCTAGAAGCATAAAGTCACAGTCTTGGTTGTGATTAAGGTCCCTCTTGAGCATGAAGTTCCATTAAGACCTTAGAATAGACATTTGGAACCTGTAAGGCCATGCATGCACGTAAAGTTTGCAACTTTACGTGATAAGCATGCCATAGAAGCTTGGATCTGTGATTTGGAGCCGTTGCATGGCTCAAAACAAGTCTTTATGAAAAAAGGACTGAATGGACTCGGCGAGTCGCAAAGTTGACTTGGTGAGTCACATGAAGATGGTCGTGAACTCGACAAGTTGGATGAACAACTCGGCGAGTCCGATGAAGATCGCCATAAGACTCGACGAGTTGAAGAACAACTCGGCGAGTCGGATGAATTTTATCTTGGATATGTATGAGTGTGTATCCGTTGAGTTGTAAGGAGGGAACTCAACGGGTGACCTTAAGTTTGATCGGGAGTCAAAGGAACTCGACAAGTCTCTCCGATGACTCGGCGAGTTGGAATGCACTTCAGAGAACTCCACGAGTACCCAAGGGTACTCAACGAGTTAAGGTTAACATGTACTGTTGATCTTGACTGAGGACTTTGACTTTGAACAAGGGTTGACTAGTGGGTTATGGAGCAACTTATAAGGTTAAGGACTTATGAGTATGTTGTGCTATGACGATAGGTGGTGGGGCCTGTGTCAAGTGAACTGAGAGTTGGAGTTTGACTTTCGAGTCGACATCTGCAAGGTGAGTTATCCTCGCTATATCGATAGGGTCTACGACACCAAGGCCGACCCTTTAATTGTTATTGTTATGGTATGTTGCATGTGTTCATGAATTATTAGTTCGGAATCTAGGTAGACAGTATGTTATGCTCTTATGATCCATAGGGATTGGTATGTTAGTGACCTGCTAGGTCGGTACTCTAGTTACAGGTGATTTCTATGATTGATGATCAGTGAGACAAATATGTTTGATGTTTGTATATGCCAGTATATGATAGTATGCACACATGGTTATTTGCTTGTGGTTGGGTTGAGGCGGTCCTGCTTTGTGATGAAGGCCAATATACCCTATGAGCGGTCCGGGGAGACTGTAGGCCCACGTGGCGGACCAGTCATGCCGAAGGCTTGGGATAGATTTAGACAGACTGTAGGCCCGGTAGGGCATTCTAGTCAGGCCGATGGCCCAGAATGCATGTTGATTGATTGATTATTAATGTTATGGTATTGCTAGTGTGGTATTGGTATTTTGGGGGTAGCTCATTAAGCCCTCGGGTTACAGTTTTCAGTTTATTGTTTCAGGTACTTCAGGAGATCGTGGAAAGGCGAAGGCGTGACCTAGTGGTTGTCGAGGCCAACAAAATAAATACCCTAAACATTACACACTAAAATAGTGTATAGTGGTAAAGGGATCGTATCCACGAAGATTGGTTCAATTTTATAACTCTATGAAATATCTCTTTGTAAAAATACTTGTAAAATGACAATAAATAAAAAATGAGGGGTTTGATCTTTTGAAATACTTGAAACAAACTAGAATTAAACTATGATTTAAATTGACAATTTAAAAAAAAAACAAGATTTGATGTAAATCAATAAGAGAAGGATGATTAACTTAAGGTTTCCTCACTTTAACTTTTGATGAACATATCATTAGAATCCAATGGTGCAATACTTGTTTTAAATCCTTAATTTGGCTACAGTAATCCAAGAAGCTTGAGATTACCTAGACTTTTCTTAGTTGTTAAAATGGTTAGAGAAGCTCATAACAATTTCCTTAGTCAAAGTCACAATTTCCGTTAAGCATGTAATTAGTGAAAGTCAACTAGCATTAAGAACCAAAAAGTCACCAAATCCAAGAGGGGTCAAATGCTTTCACCACCATGTTGGAGGAAATGTTTTTATGATTGTGTGAAGCAAAACAACACAAAAATCATTTGTTGCTTGCTAATTTGAGGACCCTTTACTTAATCAAGAAATTAGCCAACTAATTACCACAAACACATTTAAACTCATGAACTAAAACATACAAGTAGTGATAAGATGTTAAAACACAAAACATTCCCATAAAGATTTAACAACATGTTCATGGATTCTTCAACATTCAACAAAAGTTCAAAGGATTCGACAAAAGTCAACCAAGATTAGTTTAGCTAAGCATGGCTAAACTTAAAGAAAAAAAGTTAGTAGAGGATTGTACCAAACATTAAGCAAGAATCAAGAGGTAAAAAGATGATGTTCTTGAGGTGTTCTTGGCCTTCAAAAGTCTTCAAAAATACAGAGAGAATCTTCAAAAATCAGATGTCTAAGAGTATCCAAAAGATAGGCACCAACCTTCCCCATATAGCTCAAAAAAAGAATTTCTAGAACTGACCCTGCAGGGGGTTGCGCGACCCGCGTGCTGTTGCGCGGGTGGTGCCTGACATGGGCTTCTTTGAGTTTTTGGGCCTCCAAAACATATCCCACTAGCCCAGATCGAATCCAATCAACTCCTTGCCTATTTTCTTCAAGTTTTTCTTCATTTTAAGCCCAATTTGGCCTCTCCAAATCCTCCAAACTTGTTCGATTAATAATCTACGCATGCTTGAATAAACTCCCGCATCTTGCAAATTTAAAGTTTATTTCTCTCCAAGTCTTCAAATAATCATCAAGCTCGATCCACGCATCATCTCCACAATCACCAAGCCTAACATCCTTTTTGTCTACCAAATCCCATCGCTTCTTATACATCCCAAACACTCCCGCTCCGCTAGACCCGAAAACCTGCAGTTATGCTCACAAGATTCGAAAGTACCTGAAATACTCATAAAATAACAAAAAGGAAAATATGCATGGAAATTATCTAAATTACGAATGAAATATGCTAAAATAAAATATAAAAAGAAGTAAACAAAACAAACTATCAAATCACCCCAAGCTTAAACCTTACTTGTCCTCAAGTAAGACAAGACTAAAATGAACTTGGGATGAACTATCCTAAAGAAAATGAAAAGAATGGATAGAACCATAGAACCTGATCACCATTAGTCAACATGGTCAAAATTGAACTTGCTATTACCTCACAAAATTTTCATCTGATGACAATGGAACCATGAACCATAGCCAGGGCAACTCCTTTAGGTAAGTAAGGAGGGATGAGTAGTTGTAGCCTCAATGGAACATGCATACAATGATGAAATATTTGTAATAGGGAGAAAACAGCTGGATGGGCTCGGGTGGAGCTCTTATTTAAATGTACACTCTGATCTCACGTTTTCCGGTTTCTCTCATGTGTAACTAGGTTTAATCGCTCGGGCACCGTTGTAGGAATCGGCTCACTTGGTGTTGGCCCAAACCTCCTGTAGTATCCGACTCGATGGTCTCCCTAACATCACCAATTTGCGAAAAAAAAACTCGATATATATACAATAAAACATACCTAAATAAATGAATATCAAACGTCGGGTGACCAAAATGTTGGAAAATTTTGTTCAATAATTGAACCGGTCACCCTTCTCAGATTTTTGTAGCTAGGAATTTTCCTGCCCCCTTTTTTTGTTACCATACTTGAAGGTAATGTAATAACAATCGAAATTTTTAACAAGAAAACCCTTTGACTCAAAATTTGGTTCCTAAAGTGTGTAAGTGGAATCGAAAGGGTAGTAATATAATCCGAATGGTCTAAGCGAGAAAATGACCATGTGTGGAGCATAAAGATGTAATGTAAGCTGCTTTTCAAAATTGTGATTTTTTTTTCCAAATTCAATGTAAATGTCCACATGTGGACTAAAAGACTTCTCTGAAATCCTAAGAAAATCGCAAAAAGATATCGTGATATAAAGAGACCGTATATGGATTCTACTCGGGGACAAGCACTAGTGCTTCATCCTAATGGTTCAAACATGATCAAGTGTGATCCTCTCGGCGGTAGTGACCGCAAGGCTAAGACATCCATTGCTATAGTATATCCTACAATCATTAGTATTGTATGCATAATTCTTCATGAAAACTACCTGGTCATGATCACTTACCCCTTTAAGCTACCAGCATCTAATCCCAAGTATGAAATCCCAAACTGCAGCTAATGGTCCTGGTTCGATGGGTGAGATAGCAACAAGATCCTGGACCAGTAATGATACAATAACCGTGAACCTGTTCCACGGCATCCACGAGAGGTGAGAATGAACAGAAAACAAAAATGCATGAATGCTAATTCCCTAAGCTAAATGTCATGTAAAAATAAAAGTGAAAAAGAAGAAAACAAAATTTTTTTGGAGTTTTTTTTTAATGCAATTTAAACTAAAATGCTATGCAACCTAATTAAAATGCATGAGAAATAAAAAATGAAAAGGAAATGCCCCACCCCAAGCTTAAGAACAAGCATTGTCGTCAATGCTTAAGGAAGGGGCATAAATGACCTAAATCGAAGGGTCGGGCGGCGGGAAATGCCCGTGGCGATAGTGGTATTCCCACATATCCTGGACCTGGCGGGAAGTGGGAGGGAAGGACTGCTCCAATCGATCAACACGACTCGCCACATCTTGGATTACTCTTGTATTCTCTTGCGTTTGGGTGTCGATGCGCTGCACCGTGGAGAACATTGTGGCAAATTGGTCAAAGAACATGTGGGGGAAATATGGTGGGACTTCGTGTCCCCCCTGCTGATGCGGCTGGTCAAAACGTTGTGGAGGGGCTTGGAATTGGTCATGCTGAAACATTGACTGCTGCATCGAAGGCTGGTCAAAATGGTCCTCAGCTGCGGGCATCTCGTCGTCCTCTTCGTCATCTTCTTCCTCTTGTTCCTCTGCGTCGTCACCTTCATCATCACCGAATTCTGGAAATACACCTGCTTGGGTTAACTGATATGGAAGAAGCCAAGTATCCGGGTCGTTTGTGTCGAATGAAGAACCGATCCAACTTGGTAGGATGTAAACCCGGGCTTTGTCAAAGTCTAACCAATTGTACGTGCGGGTTCCCCGATGGAGCAACATCTCCATCCGAATGAGAGCATCACAGTCTAGCAGGAAGTTCGGTGGTGTGTCGACAGGTATGTAGTCGGGAGCTGAGAAGTCTAGGCCGATGGCTTGACCTATTAGCATGATAAGTCCCCCGATGAAAATATCTCCTGTGGTGCGCTGGCTTATGGAGTCACATTTGTCTAAAAAGAAGCATGAAAAACTGAGGTAGAGAGCATGCCTCACGATTCAGAGGAAAAAGAGCTCACATCTGTTGATTTGACTGGGCTCGAGGTGCCCGAAGATGCTTGTTGTGAGAACTCGATGAGCAATTCACCAGCAAGGGTGAACAATGTGCTTGGCTCGCTGTCAGCTCGGGTTGAAGGTAGTGAGACCACAAGTCTGCATCCAAAAGTATGCATCCGTGTTACGCAGAAAATCTTGGTACTCTTGATGTTGGGGACTGGTGCAGTTTGAACTGTCAACACCCATGATGGAATCGAGCTCTGCGTATGTGAGGCTATGGTACTCTCCTTTCAACTGGAATGTGAGGACTTTCGCAACATCATCTCGTGCATATGTGCTAAGAAATTCCATTGTAGGTTCCTCGTAAGTTCTATCACAGAGTCTAAGAAAACCACGCCAACCCAGTTTTAGGAACAAATTGTATACACCATCATGCACCCCAAGCTTTTTCATGGACTTTCTATGGTAGAATTTTTTCGGCCGGATTGGACAACCCCGAACGTTGGAGCGATAGGTTTTGATTTCAGCATTTGTAAGGGAAGGATCGCTTCCCTCTTCTCCTCTTTTTTTCATTTACCGGCTGCTTTGCGTGATGGACCGATGACATCCTTTTGCAGGTTAGGATCAATCGATGATCCATGGGTGCGTGTTCGAGCTGTGGTTTTTCCTATTTTCAATACCTAGAATATCAAAAACAAATTCACCAACGTAATCCCTCACCTCAACACTCTCAAATCAATGCAACTATCTTTTAACCGAACACAAAAATTCCAAGAAATAATGGCACCCAACATTTTACAATTTAAAATGGTTTCAACAACACCACTCGGTTAATTTGACAAACCCAACAAAAATTTGGCAACATTACGAGACAAAATGAGAAAATCCAAACTAAAGTTTAAACAATTTTTGAACAAATTTCCAAGCAAATTAACCAATGTCAACCATTCTCAAATCAATGTTTCCAAATAAACCGGGAAAAAATTAACGATCCTAGGCAATTTTAAAAGCATAATTGGATGCAATTATCGAATTGGAACAATGTAATAAAAACCAAGGAAAAAAAAATACCTGAATTGTCCCAAAATTTGTGGTTATTCGTGGGTGCCAAAATGCAAGACTTGTTCACTAAAGGAATATTTTCAACTTGATTTGTGTGAAAAATCCAGCGGCGGCTCGTGGTGGCTCAAAAATCCCGGGAAAATTTTTGGTGAGATTTTGAGGTTTTGTTTGGTTAGATGTAAAGAGCTTGGAAAAAGAAACACTTTGGTGGTGTCGGAATTGCGAGAGGTGGCCGGAGTTGGCCGGAAAATGGCGAGTTGGGTGGTGGTGGTGCCCCTAAACCCGACAATGGATCGGAGTAAAGTTTGGGTGGGGTTGGTAGAGCACGGAAAATGGTGAAGAATGGCGGTGGTCTCATCGGATTCCGACCGGCAGAACTCCGGGAAATCGATTTCTAGTGAAAAGTGGGTTTATGTGTTCTTGAGAGTTTGAGAGAGAATGGTGAGTGTTTGAGAGAATGATATGAAGAAGAAGAAGAGCTGGAGGTCTTCAATCCATATTCAAGTGTGGTCAATACCCAATCAACGTTGGTCAACTCATTAAACCACATGGTCAACAAAAGTCAAAGCTGGTCAACAAAATAGTGGTTGGTCGTCGAGGCAGCACGCAGGTCGCGCGCGGGGGGGGGGGGGGGGGGGGGCACGCGGGTCGTACAACCTATGCAGTTACGAAGGTGACTTTTGTTGCATGGAGGCGCGCACATCAGTCGCGCAAGGTTCTGGTCCGATTCTCGATTTTTCTCCGTTTTCTTTCGTTTCTTCACTAGTTCTTGATTCGGAAGGCACCAAACACCTAGAAACTCTTGATTTCTTCAAAAATGACTTCAAAAGACGCATCAAAACATTTTCAAAACTTTGTTATTCAAACATAAAAACATGAAAGCATAAAGCTTTCCAAAAATGCCACTCTTTAACGTCTTTGGCGAGACGTCCTTCTAGCTTGATTCAACACACCGAGACATCCAAGTGGATAATTTCAATAACATTTGCATTTAAACCTTCATAGAATGGCTTTAATCGGTGCCCATTGACTTTGAATTTTTTTTCCCGTTTCTTCACTTTGGATTTCGACCGCTCCATGGTCAAAGGTTTTTATTACAACAAATGGGCCAATCCACCTTGATCTTAATTTGCCCGAGAATAACTTCAACCGTGAATGGTAAAGTAAGACCCTATGCCTCGGTTCAAAATTCTTCCGGGTGATAGACTTGTCGTGGAAGAGCTTCGTTTTCTCATTGTAAATTCTTGAATTTTCATAAGAGTCATTTCTCAATTCTTCTAACTCTTGAAGTTGAAGCTTTCTATGTCTTCCTGCCTCATCAATATTGAAATTGCATTTCTTGACCGCCCAAAACGCTCGGTGCTCTAACTCGAAGGGAAGATGATAAGATTTTCCAAAAACTAATTTGAAGAGCAACATTCCTATCGGGGTCTTATAAGCGGTCCGATAGGCACATAGGGCATCGTCAAGCCTCAAACTCCAATCTTTCTTTGTTGGATTCACTATTTTCTCTAGAATAGACTTCACTTCACGATTCGAAACCTCTGCTTGGCCATTCGTTTGAGGTGGTAGGAGGTAGAGACACGGTGGGTCACATTGTACCTTTTTAGTAAGGCCTCCATCATCTTGTTACAAAAATGTGTCTCTCGATTGCTAATCAACGTCCTAGGTACACCAAACCTCACAAAAACATTAGACTTCAAAACTCGAGAACTGTTTTGGCATCGTTCGATCTTGTGGCTTTGGCCTCAACCCATTTAGAAACATAGTCAACCGCGAGCACTATATAAATGTTGCCAAATGAGACGGGCAATGGGCCCATGAAATCAATCCCCCATACGTCAAAAATTTCACAAACAAGGATTGGATTTTGGGGCATTTGGTTCTTTTGCGAAATGTTTCACGTCCTTTGGCATCGTTTACAACTTTTGCAAAACAAGTAACAGTCGCGTGACATGGTCGGCCAAAATAGTCCACACTCAAGGACCTTTCTCAAGGTTCGGCTAGGTCTGAAGTGTCCCCCACAAGCAAATTCATGACAGAATTGCAAAATAGATTGGTGCTCTTGTTGGGGTACACATCGCCTAATGATTTGATAGGGACAATGTTTCCATAAATAAGGCTCATCCCACACATAGTATTTTGCATCACTTTTGAGCTTGTATTTTTGAGCATGTGTGAATGTGTCGGGATACCTTTTTGTGAACAAAAAGTTAACGATATTGGTATACCAAGGAATAGATTGAGTAAGGGAAAATAGATGCTCATCCGGAAACTCGTCCCGCAAAGGGGGAGGAGTTTCATTTGAAGTGATCCGGCTTAGATGATCGGCAACAAGGTTCTCACATCCACTCTTATCAAGAATCTCCAAGTCAAATTCTTGTAACAATAAAATCCACCGGATGAGTCTAGGCTTTGCATCTTTCTTCATCATCAAGTACCTAAGAGCTGCGTGATCCGAATGCACAATGACCTTGGTACCAAGCAGGTATTGTCTGAATTTCTCCAAGGCAAACACTATGGCCAATAGCTCCTTCTCTGTAGTAGAGTAGTTTCTTTGAGCATTGTCTAGTGTTCTTGATGCATAGTAGATCACATGGGAGACTTGTCCATTCTTTTAAGCCAAAACAACGCCTATCACATAGTTGCTTGCATCACACATGATCTCAAAGGGGAGATCCCAATTTGGTGCTTGCATGATGGGGGCGGATGTAAGCAACTCTTTGAGCTTGTGAAAAGCTTCTTTGCACGCCTCATTGAACTTGAAATCAACATCCTTTTGCAAGAGTTGGCACATTGGTCTTGTTATCTTCGAAAAGTCCTTAATGAATCGCCGGTAGAAACCTGCATGGCCAAAAAAAGAACGAACTTCCCGAACAAAAGTCGGGTAAGGTAAGCTTTGAATAACATCTATCTTGGCCTTATCTACCTCAATTCCTTTCTTTGACACAATATGACCCAAAATAAGACATTGACTCACCATAAAATGACATTTCTCAAAATTTAAAACCAAATTTGTTTCAATGCATCTTTTTAAAATTTTGGTGAGATTGGTCAAACACTCTTGAAAGGAGTTGCCATATACCGTGAAATCATCCATAAAAACTTCAATTATGTTGTCGACATATTCTGAAAAGATACTAACCATTCAACGTTGGAAAGTGTTCGGGGCGTTACACAATCTGAATTGTATTCTACGGTATGCGAAAGTGCCAAATGGACATGTAAAAGTTGTGTTTTCTTGGTCCTCCGGTGCCACCAGGATTTGGTGAAAACCGGAATACCCGTTGAGACAACAATAATGAGATTTCCCGACCAACCTTTCTAACATTTGGTCAGTGAAAGGCAATGGGAAATGATCTTTTCTTGTGCTTGCATTGAGTTTTGAGGTAGTCAATACATACTCTCCACCCGTTTTGCACACGAGTGGGGACCATCATACCTTTGTTGTTCTCGACCACCGTGATTCCCGTATTCTTTGGAATGACTTGCACTGGGCTCACCCAATTGCTATCCAAGATTGGATAGATCATCCCCGCATCAAGAAGCTTTAATATCTCTTTCTTCACAACTTCCATCATTGGTGGATTCAACCTTCTTTGCGCGTCTCTACTTGGCTTGCATTCATCCTCCATTAAGATCTTGTGCATACAAGTAGAGGGACTCAATCCTTTAATAACCGCAATCATCCAACTCATGGCTTCTTTATGCTCCTTCAACACCTTGAGGAGTTGCTCTTCTT